TCAAATTGCCAGGTCTATTGTTTCAGAAATAGAGGATGTAAATAATTTCAGTGCAATCTCCCGGATCTGGACCTCTCTCATCCAGAACTGTTATCAGCATTAGCATAATTTATGGTGCTATCTAATAATGAAATCACTGAACACTGATTGTACAGCTTCTTAAAGCTATAATTATTGCTCATTAGGAATGGATTTCATATTGTTTGCTCCTGGCACATAACAAGTTATTGAAAAGGAAAAGTTGTCAGTAGAAGTGAGAGAGACCAGGAAAGATACTTTTTTATTTCTGAATATTCTCTCTGATGAATCTTGTCTGATATTTTGTCTCATAATAATGGAGAACAAATGGCCATCCTAGTTGCTGTTTACTGTTGTTTCTCTTCTGCAAGGAAAATTTTAGCTTTACATCCTACTTCTTTGTTAGTCTGTGAGGTGGTAAGTGCTCAGTAACTGTTCACAAGCTAAATGAGTGTGTGAAGACAGCAATGAGGAAAGACAAAAGCCACTAGCCTAGCATATTACATTCTGAGTTTTGTCCAGTTCATACCATCCATATATATATAATCAGTGCCCATGAAGTTCACCTAAGGGATTGGAGTTGGTGATTTTTCAGAGGCATGAATCTAAAGTTTTAGGTTGTGTATCTCAAAATACCTTAAAGTACTTTTTCTAAAATCACAGAAGAATGCTTGACTTTTTCCAGTGTAAAAGATGATGAACAATGTAAATGTAAACTGAATAAAGTATGAGAGCCCCTTTTAGTCACTCTGGTTGATCCTCTTCCACTAACAGACTGCATGAATGAATATGTGTCATTTAAACCCTGATATTTCTGGCAACATTGAGACCTCATTGCCCAGGATGTCATGGGGGGAGAAATCTTCTTGTGTTGTTTGGCAAATCACTGCCAGATGGACCCTAGGGTCGGAAAGGTATGGTCTTAACTCTGAAAATAGAGGTTTAATTAGTGAGTTGGTTTTTTTTTTTTTTTGTACTGGGGATTGAGCCCAGGGGCAATTTACCTCTGGCTTATACCCCTAGTCCTTTTTATTTTTATTTTGAGACATGGTCCCACTAATCTCTGCACTAGTCTCTGGGATTACAGGAGTGTGCCACCATGCCTGGTTAAGTGATTTCTATTGAATACAATGGTTAGGGAGAATTATACTTTTCAGCATGGAAGGGAGCTGTAAGAACCAAAATGTGAAACAGAGGTCACTGTCAAAATGTTCGTGTTGCTAGGAATGGGGAAGTGAGCTTATCAAATAAGACTTAAATTCATTGTGAACAGTGCCTTTGGCTTGTGACATCATCCACTTTAATAGAATGTAGCTGGGCTTTGAGACTGGTATAATTTATTTGACCTTCAAAAGTTGAATGTGACTTTTCTGTTTGTCAATGAATCCGGCCTAGTGATTTAACCAACGCCAGACCAGATTTTGTAGTTGGCCTTTTCCTACACAGTTTTAGCTTCCTTAAGTCTTTTGGCATGAAATCTGAAAGGGCTGAAGAAATCAAGTATTTCTTTAATAGATTCTTCTCTTACTTCCTGATAACTGTGCTCTCCTTTCTTTAAATACCCTCTTATCTAGGCCCTTCTAGTTCCTGAAAGTACAGGGAAAATGTCAGATATGCAGAAATAAAGAAAACCTTATTCTTTCACTGGAAAATTTCAAACTTTAGTAAAACTGTAGAAATGTTTAAATTGCCTTCCAATTTCTGAGAGAAATTGGTTTCCTTTAACGCTTAACGAGATAAACTGCAATTCGATTCAAGTCATTTTTCTGCTTCTCCTTGTTGACAATCTGAGCTCTGTTTTTTTGGTTTCCTCTTGCTTTCTGATTGACTTCAAGATTGCATCTAATCTTTTTATTTTATCTTGCACGAATGCAGCCTGCAATGTGTTGTGACAAGGAGCCAGACCTCCTATTAGCATATATTTATACCTTGCCGCACACAAAGTGGTGCTTGGGGATTATTAAACCAGGCTGGAGCTCTGAAGGCGCATAAAAGGCATCATATTCACCCCTCCTGCCAAAAGGACCCTCTAGCCCAACTGTCTATCCACGTGGAGATCTAATTGTTTGTAGAAAGGGACAAATGAGGGGAGCCAAAATAGTGGTTGTAGACAAAGTTAATGTGATGGAGGAATTATCAGATAATTGCAGGCATGGGAAGACACAAGAGATGGTCATTGTCCTTGGAGACACCTTGGAGGAATTTTAAGGGCCATTCTACGAATCAGTTAACATGATCAAAATTAGTCGACTAAGGAAGGAATTGGAATGTGAAACATTCTGGCAGAGGTCTAGGAATGAAGAGCTAGGCGAGAGGTATTTATGATTCGTGGGATTCAGAATATGAATTTACAATCCCAGATGCTACGGATTGAGATTCCAAGGTAGGGTCCCTTCTGGGGTGACTTGAGGAGAGGTGATAGGCAATATCTCTTCTGGTTCTATTGTTTTTTTCCACACATAGAAATCAACAGAAGCACGCACCGAACAGCATCATGACACATGTCTGCCCATTCTTTGGTGTTCCAGTTTTCTTTTAGTGGGGATTCTTGGGGCCTCCAGGATCTTAGGACTTATGAATGAGTAAACTCTGTCCCCTATCAAAACTGGCGATGATGTGATGTTAGTCATTCACACATGGGTTCGCCCTAATTTCCCCTCTGCTAACCATCCCACAGCACTTCTATTTTAAGCTTGTTTTCTCTAATTGCAGAAAGACAGGCTTTGTCTGTACTGAAAGAAATTTTGAGCATTAGTAAAAAGTGAAAGAGACAATTTGAGGGAAGGAAGGGAGGCCTTTGGAATGCTTTGCATGCTAGGGAATTGGTCCAGAAGAGAAAGTACTTTTTCCTTTCTTGACTGCCCAATAGCTCTTGCCCTCCCGGGATGGTAAGTCCCAGTGACTGTTCTTGGGAATTTGTGAGTTTTGCAAAATTTTTCATTGTGCTATACATCTCATGGTCTTTTATACATCTATCTTCTCCAATTGTCTGTGAGCCCTCTGGGGATAGGAACAGTGACTTTCCATTAATAGTTGGTGGCTGATGCACAGTTTTTGAGCTATACCTTTAAATACTTCAATCTTTGAGATAGGAAGCTATGCCTGGTCAGGTTGTGTGCCTGGAGTATACCAGGTGGGCTTGGTCCCACTTTGTCTTTCTACTTTTTCAGATATGTGGAATTGCAAGTTGATCCTCTTTGGGGTCATCTCTAAGGGCCAAGGGCTGCTGCCTTCCAGACCACGTCTGCTTTATACTCTTATTGCTGTCTGATTATCTTTGCAATCTATGTCCTGGGATGGCCGGCATATCCCTTTTTGGACCTTTCTTCCCTCTCTGTGGTAAGATGAAGGACCAAGTTAGGCAGAGGTAATAGAAAGAACAAACAATCTACTTTGGCTTTGCCTAATTAGGTCTGAGTTGCTTAAGAAGAAGGAACTCAAAGTATTCAGAAATTATTACTTTGCATTCTTTTGTATACACTTCTCTTGGAGGTCTCAGGGGCTACAGGGTAGCTGGGCTAAAGTTGGATTTGACCATGGAAAATGTGCATTTATCATAGGCATAATTCCAGGAAGGAATGAAATGACGACGTAAAACTAGATATGTTAGAGTTGCTTCATTTAAGGCCAGACTTTGTAGAAAAGACAACTTTGAGATATATATAGTAGAAAGGAATAAGACCAATTTTATAAGTCATATGTAAACATGAAATTCATTAGACATTTTGGAAGTGGTGTGCAGAGAGATCAGAAGAAAAGGAGAAGGCACAGGTTCTTATTCAGGGGAAGACAGAGATACTTGTAAGTGTTAGATAGTGTTAGGAAAAATGGGTATAAGTACTGGTTAAGAAGTTGGAGCAGCCACCACAACAATATCTATAGGATTATGACATTGAAACTAACAGAATGTAAACTATTTAGAGGAAACCAAGGAAAGGAAAGGAAATAAATAAATAAAAGGACAGCATGGCACCATGAAAGATAGCACATGTCAATGGAATAGTATTTATAATCCAGATACATGGCTTAGTGTGACCAATCAAAAGACCTGTTTTTAGAACTGAGATCTAAATACATGATATTAAGTAAATACAAGGTTAATACAGGGATCTAAAAACAAGGCTACAGAAGGATTGACAATAATAGAATGGAAAAAATATACTAGGCATATACGAAGTAAAGAGATCACAGGTAAGCTCTCTCAATATCAACCAAATAGAATTTAAGGTGAAAAACTTAATAAGGGACAACAAGGGACATTATATGTTGAAGATATAACATAGTAATCATGAATATATATGCTTCTAACAGTAAGACCTGAAAATATAAAAGGCAACAACTGATTGACCTAAGAAAGAATGTAGGTAAAACAATGATGGTTAAAACTTAAAACAAAAACAGAAACAAAAAACCTCTTGGAAGCTGATAAAACAAATAGAAAAGCTATAGAACAAACATCTAAAATATATGATTTTCAAGCAAGTATAAGTCAAATAGGAAGCTTAATGAATTTCAAAGAATCAACTTTGTAAGACTCTATTTTGACCATAGTATGCTAAAACTAGAAATTAATAGTAAATAAAGGGAGAGCTAGATAGCTAACTAACTAAATGACTTGAATGTTGGAAAACTAAAAAATTTATCTAAAGATTTCCACAAGTTTTTACATATAAAAACAGATTCAAGAACTCTCCCCACTCACTGCATTAAGACTGTATTATTTAATATATCTTTTTGTCTAGTCTCTGGTAAATTTATTTTCTGGGTTAGAGGATGAGAAGCTGTAATAACAATTGAAACAAAAGGAGAAGAGGAAGAAGAGGAGGAGGAAGAGGAAGAGGGGGAAAAAAAAAGTAGAATCATCTCCCTCTCCTATTTAGACATAACCTATATAGTTAGTGGGAAATTTTGGGAAAATGTGAAAAAATTAGAGGATGCAAGGCAATTCCTTAACTGAAAGTTATTTCTCCTAATTTTGCCAGATGGTTGGAAATGTACAGCAACTGGAACTACATCCTTACTTGGGAGTGTGATCTTCAGAACTACCTCCTGTGCGCCATGATGTTCACAAGAGAAACCACATAGAACCTCAAGGAGTCAAGAGGAAGGTAATAATTGCTACATATGTGTAGCTTATTCCAAAGATCCCAGGTTAAAGGACAGGGCTGGATTGCAGGTACTTTAACATTTGTAGAGGGCCACTGATGGCATCTCTATTTGTCTCTCAGCTGATATGGTAAGTGTGAGTCACTTACTGATTTGAAACATTTTCCACTGGGAAATGTAGGATAGTTACAATTTTTGGCATAATAGTGTATGGGCTAGATTTCTGGGAAACCAAATCTGAGGTAGAGTCTGAAATATATGAGACTAGAATAAAAAAATGCCCTTAGGGTCACCCCTTGTAGAAAGAAAAAGAAAGAAGGGAAGAAAGGAGGATCAGTCAGAGGAAGAAACTGACTGTGGGAAGCCTCAATAGAACAGATGTATTACAGAAGTTTCCAAGCTGGGATAACACTCTAGACTTGTCTTGGATTGGGGTGAGAGAGCTGGGATTTTCTACTCAACAGCTAGTAGTCATTGCATGGGGCCTGTTCTGGAAAGGGTGCATCAGCTTGGGCAAGGTGACTTTTTTTGGCTAATGTAATGCCCATAGTGAGAATAAGGGGTAATAAATTCTTCATTCCTCAGGGAAGACATGGATGCTATCCATGTCCTCAGTGATACAATTTCATATCATTTTGATTCCAAACTATTTTTTGTTGCTGTTTTTGTTTAGAAAAGTGAAGGGTCGGAAGGAATCAGGTGAAAGCCTAGCACTTGCTCTTACTCTGGGCATAGTTTGAGGACAATGGCTCTATGAACATGAATTTTTAAAAACTATGCTTTATAAAGCTGTAACACAGGGACTTCTAGAATTTTTTCTAAGACCCTCTTGTCTGAAAATATCACTAAGAGTGGGAGTATCCTTCCTATTTTTTTTTTCTCATACGGAAAGGAAAACATGAAGAAAATCATAAAAGTTTCAGGTACTGTGTTCTTTGTCAAACCATATTATTTTATAGATATATATTTTTGAAAGAATGTGTGTGTGTGTGTGTGTGTGTGTGTGTTGAAAGGATTTTAAAATCCCAATGATAACTCTTCGACTTATTTTTTAACCTCAGGCTAATCAAGGATGATTCAAAGATAAAAAGAGATGTAGTTTATGGCTCTTTGAAAGGCTTATTGCTAATTCCATTCCTTACCCCATCTCCCTACTTTTCTTTCTACCTTAAATCCAGCTGAACTAAAGGGTGGAGAGAGCAGAGGGGAGGCCAAACATAAAACTGACAGTGTGGAGTGGGGAAAGAAACACAGGACAGGAAGCACATTCTATCGATCTGGATGGATGGAGGAAATTGTCAATGCCTGGTCCTTCTGGGGTTGCCTTCTTGATGAAGATTTTTCTCTACCCCTTGGTTATAGCTAGAATGTGCCCCAGCCTGTGGAGACAGATCCCAGCAGTTAGTGCATCTACCCATCATGGGTAAAGCTTCTTCTCAGAGAGTGGAGATGTGGGAGGGACTAAGCACATGTGTTCTGGAGTAAGAGCATGCATGTTCAAATACCAACTTCACTTCCCGCTTGTTCTGTCCTCTTGGGTAAGGGACTTAACTTCTCTAGGCCTTAGTTTTCTCATTTATAAAATGGGTTGATAATAGTACCTCATAGATTTTGTTGTTGTGAATTGAAAGAATTAACTCTTTAAAGTCATGTAGAAAAAAGCATTTGATAAATATTGGCTATTATTTACTTTTGGGGGCCATATTCCCTAGGTTTCTTGTACTTTGATACATTCAGTATCACACATAAAGCACTTCTACATCCAAACCTCCCACTCAGGCTTCAGGGTCAGAACATTTTTAGCCAGTACCTTCTCTGCACATATCATTTGAGCAAGTGTACAGAGAGAACCATATATTCTTACTACACACACACACACACACACACACACACAGACACACACTCATACAAAAACATACACTCACATATGTATATATGTATTAACACAAATAACTTCCCATTTAATAATCTTTACATATAATTATCCATCCTCATAAGGATTATTTCTATTCCTGACCTACATATTGAGGTCATTTCAAAGCCTAATAAATTCAAGGTGGGATCCTTTGTTAAGTATATATTCCGCCCCCCCCATCCATTCTCTCCTTGCCTCATCTTGATTATCTGGGAGATGAATTTCTAATTTAAAAAAGGGGGAGGATATAGAAGTAAGGACCCTTGTATTAGACCAAAATTTCCCCTGAAACTTTAGTGTTGATGTTTCTCAAGCCGGTTTTATTTTTTTTTTTGCCTGTCTTTTTTATTTTCCTTTAAGAAAAGAAAGGAGCTAAGATGGAGAGCAGGCTAGGAGACTCTAAAGAATAGGATTTATT